TTCGGGCCTAATATGTATGACGACAGCACTGGCATCGTTCTCGCACGTTATTCAGCCATGTCCTAGACTTTGCATTTTTTAAAAATTCGAAATCAGATTTCAGCGCGACCAGCCGTGCTGTGTGAGCAGTCACCATGAAATTTATCACATTCTTCTTCTAATTTGAAATTCAGAATCCCGCTGAGCTCAAATCCTGCCACATCAATGAAAGTATCCTGCATTTGCCTGTGTCTCACGGCGTATGCTTGTGCCGGAAGTTTGTTAACTTACTGCACCATGCATTCAACGTCCATTTTCTCGACGCCTAAGTTGTCACTCGTTTAGCGATTTCCGACAATACGTACAATAATTTTTACTAAATCCATTTTAGGTCTTTGTGACGTGTCTCGAGAAATGCTGACTGAAATTTACAAATGTACGGTCGCTTATGAGGAATCGGTTAAAGGGGGTTGTAATACTGATTATCATGCAGTATGCTCCAAAGATATTTCCTCCACCCATGAAGTCGCCTTTGAAAGAGCTCTTCTGTTGCAGCGTGCAAGAACCACCGTCAGCAAAAGATCAGTACTTGAAAAGTAACGATTTTTCTGTTGATTTTTGATGCCCTAATAAAGTCACCCATTGCTGATAGAAGAGGACAGGCGAGTTCCCGAAGACGGTTGAAAAAACGAAGATTCAATCGCTGGAACAAAAATTATATTGGCCCGACGTTTCAGGTTCTCACTCGAGCCCATCATGAGGGAAAATCTCAGAAAAGGGTAATAGGAGCACAATGTGCGCAGTATTTATAGGGTCCGGTTGCCTGAGAACCACCCGGTTGCTTTATCTGGCAGTACTCCTGTTCATCGCTACGGGTTCAAGTTGATGCGAGGATTAATTGTTGGTTCGTATTTGGGTCTTTAATTGCAAAATACCTACTCAAATAGCAACTTATCTGTCTGCTTCTTAATGCCGCTTATGAAGCATGCGACATCGTCCATAAACATTACAAAAATTTAAACCCCGTGTGGCGTCAGCTTAATAACATTGAGGAATATAGGGTTTACTTATTTGGAAAATAAGTAGATTTTAGTTTCGACGCTGGAGGCTCAAGAACAAATGCAAATCGGGTTCAGAACTACCCTTTAGTTGCGTAACATTTTCTCACATTTAAAGATATCCTTTCTTCGAATGTCATGTTTAAAGTAGACGTACTTTAATACAACATGAGTATAAGAAAGAATGTTTTGCCGCATGATTTTTGTAAATTCTGCTTGAATTTATAAGAGCCCCGGTAATCAAAAATAAAAAAGTTTTACTGCTCATATGACCGCTTTTGCCGAGCGTGATAAGTGCACGAGACCATTAAGAAGCGCATTCAAGGGTCGCCACCTTGGCGAAACTGCAACATACTGAAATTGTACGGCAGTCAATATGACATCTATAACAAAGTAGTCTTTTCTAGTCTTAAACGCATTTAAGAATTTCGGCTAGTATTTCATGAGATACTGTGTCGTAACGTGAGCTTATCAATTTCAACCACAACAACGGCTACGTTTACATTTTCACTTGGTTCAACGACTATGCCCCTAACTGCTTAACTTATTCTGCCTTAAGTTCGGTTACCATGTTCGCGATGACTGAAATATCTTTTAATTGGCTGCTGGTAACAACATCCACAACAATTTCTGCCCTCCCATGCTGCATACAGTTGAGTAACCTCGCGAGAATTCTAACTGAACTTAAGAAAATACCGCCTTGTTTATTTTCCGAGGAAATTATTGCGAGGACTTGGAGTAAATCCTCCAGAACAAAGCTTTTTTAAGTTCGGAAGTTAAACAAGGCAAGGTGGAATCCGGAGTTGATATACTAGAAAGCACTTAGGTGAGGCGACGCTGGGGGTCCCGTTGATGAGCCAAGCTCCTCGCAACTGCATCATACAGCGACGCGAAATCGGGGGAGCACGCGTGTCTGGGCTTTTAGCTAGCACCTGTGCTGAAAGTATGGTAAACCACTTAGTAGCAGGAAAATTGTTTTTGCTATTAGGGGGTGGGTTACTTCAAGTAAATTAAAATACCTATGCATGTCCTTTTTCAACGCCCTTCAATCACAGCGCAATTAGCGGCCCCTGCTTGTCGGTCCCTTCTGAAACCTGCTAGTGCAAACTCGTCAAAAGGAGCCGTCTAACCAGATTAACAATGGGGTATTTGGAGTGTCTAGTCGATTTATCCATGTAAAATCCTGAGGCCGACAGCCGATAACCTGCACACGCAACACCGCGCCTCGGTGTAAAGAAAACACATTCACATAGTATAATTCCCCTTCGCTTCTCTCTGGGTGTCCCGACGTATCTTTCAATTATTCTACTCTTCCCCTCTGAGTGCATATCTTGCCAGTGAGTGCTACAGATACGACCGGTTTGATGGTCATTCATTACTGTGCGGTGCCAGCTTCTTCATGGTGAGTCATCGCATCACTCGGCTTTAAAATAATGTCCTTGGTGCAGAAGTCCACTGCTAAACTGCCTTCATCCGCCCACACTGGTTGAGAAATAGGATGGTGCAACCGCGCAAACCGCAACCACCTGTCGCGAGAATAGTAGCGTGCAAGAAGTCTCCTCTCATCGACACTCGTCTGACCTCTGAGACAGGCACGGCACAAATTTAGCTTGGGTGTCAGGTGGTTAACACTGATGCTTTGCGAAGTAGCTAACGTTTCAATAAATGAGTACCCTAGTCACAGCAAGCATGTAGGTCAGTTAAGACGTGAGAAAGGGGGGTCAGCGGGGGGGTGTTAGACGCACACAATGACCTCTGAGCGCCCCTGTAGGCAGAAGCCTCGCAGGGTCGGCAGAATGTTGCCTGTGTGGGGGCAGGTGGCGTGCTGGTTCGAGCACGTGATTGTGAGGCCAGACTCTTCTGCGGCGTCGGTGATGCGTCGAGTTTCGGGCCGTCTCAGCAAAGTTCATCACGCGTTGGGAAATGGGGGTGCTGGGGTTTTACCTGCACGTAAAGTCTTCCCTCGACTGTTCCAGGTCCAGTCCTCAAATGACGCTGGAATGGCGACAGAAGCTGGCAGAAAACACTGTCAATTGCCGTGTAAAGGAGAACTGCATTTTGCGACCGTCCTGATGCGTCAAGCGCCATGGCTTGGGGAAGGCAGCCAACTGACGAGAAAACTCAGCTCGCGTGGTCAGAACTGTAGGTGGAGTGACTGGCTGGAGGAATAAGAGCCGGGGTTTAATGGCTCCATCTTAATGCAGCCTTTATAGCACTACAATGAAAGTGAGAATGAGTGTGCCACCACTAGGGATTTCGGTTTAAGCCACACCAATAATCTAGATTTCTCGCGCGCCACGCCGACAGAATTATGACCAAAGCTGCCCAGTTTTGTGACTTCATTTGTCAATTTATATCTTCCTGAAATCAAATCAAGACTCTGTCGAATGTCTGTACTTCCCATTTTTGAGTATTTTTAGCCATTCTTTGGCTAAATGAACGAGGCTAGTCGTTTAAAAACTGAAAATGTTCAAAGACATTTTACTAGAAGACTCTTTGGTACGGTGCGCCCAAATATTTCATAGGTGTCAATCAACTAACTTAAAATTTGCATGAGTTTGGAGACTAAAAGCGGGCTTCTGTCGCCTCTTTCGAATTAATAATAGTTCAAATCTTCCTCGGATTTCAGCCCTTGTCCCCAGTAGACGCCCATAAATCTTCGCGATTCTGCCTTCATCATACCTCCTTCCGCTTACTCCATCTTTCGTCGCACTCTTTTTCTCGCTTCCAGGTATACTTTTCTCTGGGATAACCTTCCAATAGATATAAGATAATCCTCTTGTCCCACAGAACCCATCTCTTTTCAACTTATATCGCTTGGGATGCCTACCTTTCAATACTTACGCATAAGAGAATCATATAATTTATATACTTGTAGGAGAAGGCTGCGTATTTATTTTAATACTGACTGAATTAGACTTGTATTTTCCTTATCCGACCTGGGCAAATTTCTCTATGGCATTGAGGAAGGGCCATTGGGAATTTAGGACATCGCCACCAAATTACCGTACCCGCCCACATTTCCTTATCTGTGCGCGGTTTCGCTTCATAAAATCTCTCAGAAAATTTCCAATTTTCGATTTTTCAGTCCA